CTAAATGAAGATAACAGTACTTTAGAAATTAGTCGTATCAAGTATAAGAGGTAACAGATCTTTTTTTAATTTTTGATTAATTTTGTTAGTTTAAGTAAATTTATATTAATAAAAAAAATTCTTTAATTTTAGACTTTATTGGAGACACCAAATACTCAAAATTGTTTTTGCCTTTGCCGTTTTTTGGATTGTCTGGCTCGTATTTACAATTATATGTACATAAATTTTACATGTTTTTTTTTATATGTATGTTTCATATGTATTAGTTTCCTTTATATTGAACACATCTACTTTAAGGAATTTCTTTCTAATGTTGCATGTATATCTTGCCAAATATATAACTCAAAGTAACTTTTATACTAGTTTAGTTATTGTCAATTGTTTGCTAAAAAGTTGTTAACAGATAAATTAAGAATTTAGACCGTCATGCTATACAATCAAATTAGAAGAAACGATCGGAATTGTCAGCACCCCGTATTTCTCGTAGATGAGGTGCTGGCGGTCGAATTAAAAAAATGTTTAAAAATAGTAAATAGCTGGAATTCTTGTCAAAACGTATTTAAATGCTCGGAACTATGTGAGAACTGCCGGGAACTCTGAAGAAAACGATCGGAATTGTCAGCACCCCGTATTTCTCGTAAATGAGGTGCTGGCAATCGAATTAAAAAATTGTTTAAAAATAGTAAATAGCTGGAACTCTTGTCAAAACGTATTTAAATGCTCGGAACTATGTGAGAACTGCCGAGAACTCTGAAGAAAACGATCAGAATTGTCAGCACCCCGTATTTCTCGTAGATGAGATGCTGGCGGTCAAATTAAAAAATTGTTTACAAATAATAAAAGGCCGGAACTGTCGCTGACACCTATCAGGAACTGTAGAACTCTTCGAGAACTATAAAATCTCATGGTAAAAATCAATTTTTTTGGAATTTGAGATGCTCGCGATCAGATTAAAAATTTGTTTAAAAATACTTAATGACCGGAACTATTGCTAAATCTTATCAGGAACTGTAAAACTCTTCGAGAACTATAAAATATCATGTTTAAAATTAATTTTTTTTGAAACATGAGGTGCTACGGGAAGTTAGCACCTCATATTTTCAAAATTTATTTTTTTTAACTAAATCAACGGAACTCTTTCTAAAAATTATCAGGAACTGTAGAACTATTGCGGGTGCAAATGGAACTGTTGATAAAACTTTCGATTTTTGAAAGTGAGGTGCCAACTTCACAGAGACTGCACTTCTGAGATATTAACAAAAAATATTATTTTCCAATGTTTTCAAAATATCTCAAAAACGACGCAAAATACAAAAAAAGTACAAGAGAACTTTTTTGTAGGAAATAAAATTTTGCATCGAATACGTATACTATAAAAAATTTCTTTTCAATATCGCACGTTTTAGGCGAAATACCCCACTGTGAGTCGGTTCGATGTCCAGTTGCTAACTCGGATTGTTTCTGAGTTAGATTCGTAACTTTCAATTGTCAGCGCTTTTTGGGTTCGGGGTTGGATTGCATCGGATAGAGCCCGAGCAACCAGGTTTCCAGATGGAATGCTAACTAAGGTTTCAGTCGCTAGGGTTGAATTTCTTACGGTAAGCCATTTGCTGTTGTTAGGTGCTGTATAATTACCGGTTCGCTCACAACAGGTGGAACAATATTATTAGGCTTGCACGTTTACATTTGAGAAAAACTTTTTAATTGTCTAAATGCATTTATTTTCCAATAATTGTACATTATAATATAGAATTTATATATAATAAATTTGAAATTAAATTGTATTCAATATCCATTGTTAACTTAATTTGTTAACCAAATTAGAATAAAATGCATTTACAGTCCGAACTTGGATCTTATTTCTGTGTGTATACACACACACACACACACACACACACACACACACGCACATACACATATTATACTTTCCAACCTTAATAAACTGCGCTCCGATTAAATCAGACTTATACAATACAGTTCCCGTTGGAGTAATAAAATCCCCTTTCTCCCTTTTAATTAAATCGATTTAACTTTAATGCTAAGCATCTAAATAACTATGTAAAGAATTTATTGCAAAGAGAGAAGAGATTTTACTAACAAAAGGTTGAAAAATATGTGTATGTATACACACAGAAATAATATTAGGCTACTAAGATCCAAACTCTGACTATAAATGACATTTTATTCTAATTTGATTGTATAGCATGACGGTCTAAATTCTTAATTTATCTGTTAACAACTTTTTAGCAAACAACATTGACAATAACTAAACTAGTATAAAAGTTACTTTGAGTTATATATTTGGCAAGATATACATGCAACATTAGAAAGAAATTCCTTAAATTAGATGTGTTCAATATAAAAGAAACTAATACATATAAAACATACATATAAAACAAACGTGTAAAAATTATGTACATATAATTGTAAATACGAGCCAGACAATCCAAAGAACGGCAAAGGCAAAAACAATTTTGAGTATTTGGTGTATCCAATAAAGTCTAAAATTAAAGAATTTTTTTATTAATAAAAATTAACTTAACCTAACAAAATCATTCAAAAATTAAAAAAATATCTGTTACGTACCTTTTATACTTGATACGACTAATTTCTAAAGTACTGTTATCTTCATTTAGAAGATAGAGACGAATGCCCATATAATGATCAAATAAATATTTTGTCCAGTCAAATTCAACCATACTGAATTGAAATAATTTCTGATCTTTCTCACTCAAACGACTCCACATCGCTTGAACATTGTCAGTTGAAAAACTCCATTCATTTGTGCAAAATGGTTCAATCGCGTTGGAAAATTTGTCGACTTTCTTACATAACTTCCACATTCTGAAATGCATATAAAACCATTATAATTTTTTATAATATAGATAAAATTTTATTTGGTTTCGATACAAACTATGTAATATATGCTTCAAGTAAGAGAAACGACATTTAAATTTACGTGATGGATACCTTGGGCTACGATTTATACAGATGCTTATAGCATCTATAATTAAAGCTGGAAGGAAATGTCCGAGCCAAACGCAAATTCTGTATGGTATTTTGTGTTGGACGTAAACCATAAAGGGAAAATATATGGCATCATATAAGGGGTACATCTTATTTGTGTCGACAAATGCATTACGGTATTCATTCCAAGTAGGTCCATCGATTGGTGACACGAAATTATAAATTAATGTATTCTTGCTTCTCCTACAAGATAAAATTATTTAAACATAATTATGTTGTACATTATACTTCTTTACATATCAGAGTCATTTATAATCATATG